CACCCCTCCCCACCAGTTCGCTCCCCTCTCTGAAAAGAAAAAGAAAAAGAAATTCCTTCATTGGTATACAATTCCCCCATCCCTCTCCTCCACCCCCACCCCAAGTACACTTCTCTATGTGCCATTTCAATCTTAATATACTGGATTGCATTTTCGTGTTTTTATGTTATTTCCAGTACTGTGTTGGTGTACCCTTTCTGTCTAGCAATGATTTTTTTTAAGTTCTTGTACCTCTTTATCTGTACTATCAATTATTTCTTCCATCTTTTGCATTTTCTTCTGTAACTGTTCAAGTTGCTCCTCCTCAATATATTTCTTCTGGATCACTGTCTCTGAGGAATTTGCTGTCTTTTTTACTTCCATTGTCCGCCCCCCCCGCCCCATCATTTGCATCTTCTTCTGTTGCTGTTCAAAGAAGTCCACATCAACATATTTCTTCTGGTGGTCCTCTCTATCTGGGGTATTCTTTGGGTCTGCTTTTTTTAGTAGGGTTATTTTGGTTTTTTTCCATGATGACTGAATAGATTGCTGTTTTCTTGACATCGTGAGAGTACTTTCAGAGTAGATGTTACGTTGTTGTAACTATATAATGTTCCATGGTATGGCAATGATTTTGGAGGATCTGTATATTGTTGCTCTCCTCTTGTCCTGAGGGCTATAGGGTCGAGGACGTGAAGTAGGATGACTGTTGCCCTCCAGAAACCTCATCTCTACCTGGTCTCTTCTGATTTATCTTAAGCAATCTTATGGGATGTATCTAGATAGCAGTATTCAAGGCCAAAGTACCTGAATGGCAGAACAGAGGAATCTTTTGTTCTCCAGAAACTGTGTCTCTACCCATCTTCTACCTCTTGAGCTTAAGAAATCCCAGGTGATGCAGCCAAACAGCGGTGTTTAAGGCCAAAGTACCTGCATGGCAGAATAGAGAAGTCTGTTGTCCTCTAGAAACCATGTCTCTATCTGGCCTCCTCTTCATTCATTAGTTTTAAATACCTCAAACCTGTTATTGAGATGGTTTTGAAATTCAGGTAGATAGCCTCAAAGTAATATTTTTATTTTTAGAGTTTATTTTCATTTTATTTAACTTCAATTTAAACTTAAACGTGATTAGATGTTCCACAGTGAGTAACTGGCCTGGTTTTTACAGCTGATACTGAATTTCTACAACAATTCTTTCCACACATATAATCAATCTGACATTTTTTTTGTAGTCCCTCAGGTTAGGCCCCTATGTATAGTTGTCATTTTTAAAAAATAAAGTGTATTTTCAATAAATAATTGATTACACAGCATTCTATCATTCTATTTTCAGCCTAATTTCTGTCATCAAGTCTGTATTTTCCGATTATTAATCCTTCTTCCTCGCTCACAACTTTTGCATTCTGGTAGCCAATTATTACTAATGAAAATTGGTTGTTTGTTCGACCAATTTCAGACTGAAAAAGTTGAAAGAAATATTCTATTTCCTCCTCTTTCACTCTAGCTGTTGCTGCATATATTTTAATGATAGTGATATTAACAGGTTTTTGGGAATAAACATAACTAGAGAGGAAAAAAAAACCAACAACACAAAAAACCTCTATAAGGAAAACAACAAAACACTACTGCGAGAAAGAGTAAAAACTTAACTAAATGGAAAAAGATTCTCTGTTCGTAAGTAGGAAGATCTAAATTACTGAAAGTGACAATCCTACCAAAATAACCTATATAGTCAACACAATCCCAATACAGATATCACCTTCATTTGTCGAAGAGATAGAAACAGCAATTGGCAAGTTTATTTGGAAAAGAAAGAGATCCCAAATAAGTAAAGCACTTCTGAAAAAACAAGAATGAAGTGTGAGAAACAGATCTCAAAACCTACTACACAGTTGTAATAATCAAAACAACATGTACCTGTATAAAGACAGGCATATACAGACCAATGGAA